TGTTATTGTTAGGGGCACCTGGGAAAGCATCTGCCTTTGGCTCAGGTAATGATCTCAGGGTCCTGGGATTGAGCCCTGAGTCGGGCTCCCTGCTCAGCAGGGAGTCTGCTTTTCCTTCTCCCTCTGTCTCCCTACCCCGGCTCATGCTGTCTCTCTCTCTCTCAAATAAATAAATAAAATCTTTTAATAACAAAACAAAACAAAAACCCCCAAATGTTGTTAGAATTATTATCTCACAATACAACCAATCCTTCCAGGTTTACCCCCCTGCCAAAATATATATATGTGCACGCATATATTATATATATATATCACCACACATATATAGATATAATATATATACGCACGATGTACACTTCTGTGGGCTGAGGAGAGGCTTCAAAGAGCACAGGCTACAAAGGCAGATGGCTGGGAGGAAATCTGACTCAGATGCTTTCCACCTGAGCAACCTCAGTGTACCACGTAACCGTTCTGTGCCTCAGTTTTCCTCATCTGTAAAATGGGAGTGATCACATAGGCCCTACCCTGCGAGGTCATTTGTGGAGAGCAACGTGGAATGGGCCAGCACATGTTGTGTCCGGCCTTGTGAGAGGCGCACAGAGCAGCTGAGTGCTGCTTTCCCACTGCCTGCACCCTCCTGGCCCAGGGCCTGCCCACCCCCACGGCCTGGGGAGGTCCTGAGATGAGGTCACTCATTCCGCTACCGCTGGGACTGCCCAGGAGCCCGAGACGCTGCTCAGGTCGCTGCCTGGACCTCAGCTGTCCATCTGTGGAATGGAGTTCCCAAGGATTTCCACCCCCCACCCCATTCCCCGGGGTTGTTGGGCCAGTGTAACGGATAGACTGAGTGCTGGGACACAGGGAGCCCTCACTACTGTGAGCAGTGTTTATTATCTGCATCTCAAAGACACACTGCAAGGCCCAGATTTAAAGAAGACCCTCTGTCAGGCAAGGAGCCCCTTTTCAGGACACACTAGCATATGGATTTTTCCTCCAAGGACATGCAAGTGTTCAGAATTAGGGAAAATGACCTGTGTGCTCCCCCACATCCCTGGGCCCCACCCAACTCTTCCCTCCTTCCCTCCAGGACCATTCCTGCCCCGCCCCTCCCCTCCCTGTCTTCCCCCAACCACTCGGCTCCCCCTCCTCTCATCCCAGCAGATTTGATAACACCCAGGAGTCCCAGTCCCCCTCCTGAGGACAAAGGCAGCAATTGTCCCTGGTGGGCGCCTTTTGACTCGGTCTCACCACGGTGAAATCGAGCCCCCACGACTTCACCTCACTTGGGAGGCCCCGCAGGGCCCCCTCCTCACCTCAGGTCGGTTTCAAATGAGCCCCCTGGCTGAAGGGCCAGCAGCCACACTGGGAAAGCCTTCCAAGAGAAATCAGATGACCACTGTTTGAGAACCCCTTGGGCTGGCGAGGGGCCAGGAGGTGAAAGGATTTGCTGCCACTACTGCCAAGACCTTCCCCAGTCCCCCAACACCACCAGTGTCCGTGCCCACTGCCACCCTACGCTGGCGGCTGCTGTCCAAAAGGCCCCCCTGCAATGATGAAACCGTCGGTACAGTCTCACAAGACACACGTGGCTCCCAGCCCGTGATGTGTGGACTGCAGAGCTGAATGTCTCTTACTTGTTTGTAATTAGTTTGAATGTAAATAGCCACACATGGCCGTGGCAACTGTATCGGACGGAACTTACAAGCACTCCATGTCACTGAGAGCACCTACTGTATGCCAGGCCCCACACTGGGCTCTGGGAGATGCCAAGGTGACTCTCACAACTGTCTGGAAGGACGAGGAGAATTTGGCAGGGGGAGATGATGTGGCCCTCAGGCTGCCCTCACAAGCTGAGCAAGCCCAGAAACCCCGTTAAAACAGAAGGTGCCCCAGGTCCCTGCACAGGTGTGGGCATTCCTGGGCATGGCCGAGTCTGGGCATCTCCTCATGCAGTGGCATCCTGAGCGCCCCCCATGACAGCCCAGACCCCCTTCCCACTGGGGGGGGCAATGTGCAGAATTCTCTTCACACAGCCAACTCCCCTCTGGCCTGAAGTGTCCTCTCCCAGGCAGAGGACGGTAGCCCAGGACTGGCCCAGGGCCATGGTGCCAGAGTGGGAGAGGATTCACAGTGCCTGAGGGGGCTGAGGACTGCAGAGTCTCCAAGTTCCCCAAAACAGGGGATCTGAGAATCTTAGAATCACAGTGTGTCAGAACTGGGAGTGAGAATAAATGCATCCAAGCCCAAGAACCCCTGAGGCTGGTAAGACAGTTCAATGGTTAGGAACTGAGTCTGGAGCCACATGGCTTGGGTTCAGATCTGAGGGTGGCACCCGCCAGCTGTGTGGCCCTGGGCAAGTTTCTTAACCTCTCTGTTTCTCAGTTTTTCCATTTGTAAAATGGAGACAACAACAGAGAATCCTAACCTCATAAAACTGTTGTGGGATTAAATGAGTACATGCATTTCAAAAGCTAGTATTAGAATCATGTCTTTATTCTCCCTGCAAACACACACCTGCCCACCAGCCGATCTCACTTTCTGGTAGCCAGTTCTTTCTCACCAGAGCTGAAACTTATATCTTCCCATATTCTTCCATTTCATGAGTCCTGGTCCTGTATTCTACCCTACCACCATACCCCTAGCCCATCCTTTGTGACGGGGGGGGGCGGTCAGTGACAGCTCCATGAGGCTGCCCACTCCAGGCTGAGCCTGAGCTCTTCCCAGGCCAGGGTGTCCAGCCACCTCCTCTGGGCCTACCCTGGGCTACCTGTGTCTATTCCCAGGTCAGGGCTGGGAGGTGGTCTTTGCAGCTCACCCAGAGCAAAGGGGGCTGCTGAGCACCAGGCTCCACGGAGCTGGGGACCCAGAGATGTTTGTCTTCCATGTGCTCTTTCCCTGCTCCCCATCCCTGTGGCCTCCCTATCTCACCACCTCCCTTCCCCAGCACCATCCACAGCTATCACCAATGCATCAGTGACTAGACCTGGCTGGGCCCTGCCCTTGCTGGGTCATCAGAGAAAACTGGAAAAACCTCAGGCCTCAGGGACATCCTCCACCCAAGCCTGGGCTGGTTTTCCTCTGACCCCTCCTCAGCAGCTTCCACTCCAGACCTGTCCAGGCTCCTTCCTCTGGGCCCACACACCCCAGCCTGGTCATCCCAGGGAGTTGTCCCCGATGGACCTCCCGGCCCCCACATCAGCACCTCAGCTAGCCCATCTCCCACCTGGGCCAGCCATGGGGACCAGGAGTGAGGCAGAGCTGGGAGTCAGGTCCCAGGTAACATTCTACACCTCCATTCTCCTGGCGTGTGTGTGGTCTTGGCAAGGGCTCTCTACATCTGGTGTCAGTCTCTCTTCTATTAAATGGGCCCAAGGAAGGGACAGTCTCAGTTCTAAAATGATTCTAGAATTCTCCTCCACTGTCCTGAGGCCACTGTCCTCCAGGGAGCAGTAGGGGCTGGGTAGGATTGCCAGGTTGTCAGGTTGAGCACATCGATACGCCAACAAAATGAGCCTTGACCTCAAACACACACCTTAAACAAAAGTTAACCCAAAATGGATCAGAGAACCTTGAGGACACTTTGCTCAGTGAAATAAGTCAGTCGCACAAGGACAAATACTGCACGATTCCACGCATGCGGTCAAATGCATAGAGACAGAAAGTAAGATGGCGGTTGTAGGGGAGGAGGAATGGGGAGTTAGTGTTTAACTGGGACAGAGTTTCAGTTTGGGGAGATGAGAAAGTTCTGGAGACGGGTGGTGGTGATGGTTGTGCAACAAGGTAAATGCACTTATACCACCAAGCTGCACATCTCAGAATGATTATGATGGTAAGTGTTATGTATATTTTACTGCAGTTAAAAATAAGTAAATTTTATGGGGCGCCTGGGTGGCTCAGTCAGTTGAGCAGCCGACTCTTGGTTTCGGCTCAGGTCGTGATCTCAGGGTCCCGAGATCGAGCCACGTGCCAGGCTCCGCGTTCAGCGCAGAGCCTGCTTCTCTCCCTCTCCCTCTGCCCCTTCCCCTGCTTGGGTTCTCTCAAGTAAATCAATCAATCAATCAATCTTTAAAAACAAACAAACAGATAAATAATAAATAATTTTTTAAGTAAGAAATTGAAAAAAGAAATAAGCCTTTGTTGATTTAAAAATAACTAGTTAATTAAAAAATGAATCACAGACTTCAATGTAAAATGGAAAACTACAAAAGCTTTTAGAAAAAAACATTGGGGAAAATCTTCGGGGCCAGGAGTCAGCAAGTTCTTGGCCACTACCAAAAGCAGTATCCACAAAAGGGAAAATTGATCAATTGAGCCTGATCAAACTTTAAAACACACTGCTCTGGAAAAGACCCTGTGATGAGGACGAATAGACAAGCTATACGCTGAAGAAAAAAGACTTGCAAACCAGGTGTCTGACAAAAGACTAGCATCTAGAATATAAAGAAATCTCAAAACCCAACAGTAGAAACATAAACAATGCAACAAACACTTCTTGAGCACTTACTATATGCCAGGCACTGTTCTGGGCACGGGAACACACCTGTGAACTTACATCACCCCTACCCGGTGGTGCTGACATTGTAGTGGAAGAAGACAGGCAATAAACACACAATGAGCTGTGTAAATAAGATCATTTCACATGGCGGTGTTACATAGAAAATAAAGCAGGGTAGTGTACAAAGAGAACTGAGGTGGATGTAGGGGAGGAAAGTCAGGGAGAGGGGCTCCCTGAGAAGGCAACATCTGAGCAGAGACCTGAAGGAAAAGAAGGAGCTAGTTATGCAAAGATTGAGGGAAAAACATTCCAGACAGAGGAAAGAACATGTGCAAAGGCCCTGAGTCAGGAACAAGACTGGCAAACTCCAGGAGTGCGTAGCTTCAGACAAAGTTGGTGTCCACTGGTCCTAAGAACCCTGTGTCTTCCCCTTCCCCACATGGCAGATCTGGAAGACCTTGGAAGAAACTGAAGCCTGCCCAAGGCCGCCACTGGCCCATGTCCCTCAATTTGGGCTAGAAGCCTTTCCATCAGAGAAGGTGAGAACCCACATCTGCGCCTGGATCTGGGGCAGAAATGGAGGGCACAGAGGCCTGAGGGGAACTCCTCACAGCCTTGCCTCGTCAGCTGGCTTCAGACCAGGCAGGGCTTGGCTCCTTTGGCCCTCAACGTGCCACCACGGACCTCTATATCTGGTCAAATATGCAAGTGGCCTTTGGGACGGTGGAGAGGAGCATAGCTGAGTAAACCTTATCTGGGCCCCGCCCCAGCTGCCAGGGGCCAAGTCCCCGGTGTCCCCTGATTCACAGGCCCACCTGCAGCTAGGGCATGGTGGGAATCCAGCTCCCAGGAGCACCCAGACCAGACAGGGCAGGGCAGGAAGGGACAAGACCAACCCCCCTCCCTCCCGTGAGCAAGAGGCTGGGCAGGGACTGGAAGGTGACTTCTCACTCCGGTGGAATTCCATCCCCCTGAGCTCACCTCCCTTGGAGCAAGCAGCACATTCCAGCAGGGCCAGCCCCGTCCCAGCTGGGCCCCCATCCCCAGGGCTGCCTCTCTGGGGCTCAGTCACCACACCCCCAGGAAGGGATTGCTGGGGGCCCCTCCCTCCCTCAAGGTCCCCAGAGCTGCGGCACACTTCCTTTTGCACAGCAAGACCTCCGACAGCCTGCCCTGCCAGGTGCAGTATCTTTGTGGAGGCTCTGAGTGGCGGGGCCCCTAGCCACCTGGCTGGGGTTCCAGAGCTGGGACCTGGCAGAGGCTGGGCTTCTCTGCACCCTCGTGGGGGGCATGCTACCCATGCAGGGGAATGCATCTAGAAAGGCCCACCCCTGGCTCTCCTTCCACCTCCATGACTGCTCTTTTGCTCCCCTCCTGCCCAGTGCTCATTTCCCCAGGGCTGTGCCCAGCTTTCCTGCTTTCCCACTTGAATCCTCCCTCTGGACAAGCCTACCAAGCCTGGGCTTCTGTTACTGCCTCCTGCTGGAGGCTGCCGGGAAGTGGCTCCAGCCAAGACCTTTCTCCAATTAAGATCCAAGAGTCCAGGATGTCCCTGAGGGCCCCCACTTGCAGCCCACAGGGTCTCCCAGTCCCAAAAGCACCCTAATCATTTCCCCCGAGACTGGTCTCCCCCTGCCCCAGGTCCTGACCCCAGTGAGAAGTGGCACCCCCCATCCATCCCAAGCACAACTCAAGATGGGTCTTGTCTATTCTGCTTCCTGAATGGCTGTCCCTCCGCACTCCCCTTAGGCCCCCACTAGGTTTGGGCTGCTGCCCTGCCCCTTCACTCTGTTCTCCACTCCGCCCCCAGAGAGGGCCAGAACCCTGCCCACACACTCCCCGATCAAAGCCCCTTCAGGAACCTCCTACAGAAGGGGAACGTCTTACTCCTTGAACTGGCATTCAAGGCCCTGCATTTGGTCCTAGCTCCCTGTACAGCCTCATCACCTATTACCCCTCTCTCCCGGACACACAGAGCACCACACCAGCCACCCGCACTGCCTGAACTACCCTCCTCCTTCCCACCTGCCTTGTGAGTAGGACTCTTACTTATCCTTCAAAGCCCTGCTAAGGAGTCCCTCCTTCCTAGAGGTCTCCAGACTAGTTCATCTCCCCAAAAGCCTGGAAAGAGATCATGCAAAAGCACATATTCCGCCATCCAAAGATTTCAGCCCAGCGCTTCCAACACCTCTCTCCCTCCCAACCAAAGATCCTATGATTCCAAACTCCCCGTGTGAGGATGTGAACCAATATTCTACAATCCCGACCTGAACGGTCTGGGATTTCAATCCATAAATATTATGGCCCTAAAATGCCAGTAGGCAGAGACTGTAATTGTAAAATCACCTCCCCAAAAGAGGTGTCGGCACCCCCACCTCTTTCTTCTCACCTGACCACTCTAAATCGACCTTGCGGACCACACAACTGCATGAGACGGCGTGGGGAGGGAAAGCCCTGCTGGCCCACAGCGGTGCCCCCACCTCCCCAGGCCCAAGCCCCACATCTGCAGGTGAGCGCCTGGCTCTGCCTAGGCTCACGCCCAAGCTGGAGACCTGTAAGGGCAGGGTGCCCCACGGCCTTCATTCTCCCTCATCTGCCAGGTGAGGCGGTGGGCTGCTCTGGGTCTCCCCTCATGGGCCTGCCACCACCTCTGCCCCTTAGGACATGTACCCCTTCCCCGACTTCCTCCTCCTTTCCTCTCTCACCATTGCCAACAAGCCCAGAGCCTGCGGTCGGGTTGAGTCTTGTCTTCTCACAGCAAGAGCGAGGGAGCAGCGATAAACACATCTGTGATCCTTTCCAAGATGCTCAGCCAGGAGCGGCTGTGGGCTGGCCCCCTCTCTCCTGTCAGCTCCCCACCTCTGCTGTGCATGGGGCCCATGGAAGCCTATTGTGGGGGAGGCCCTGCGGTGAGACCCCTTGCCTTTGAATTATAAATAGCACATTGCAGGACCCTGTGGGCATCTCCCCCTCGGGCCTTCACGTGGCCCTGACCAGCACCGGGGATCAGGTGGCCAAATGGAGGCCTCAAATAGGGATGGGACCCAGAGCTGATATACACCGAGCCTTACTAACCCCAGGCTAAGTGGCTGTCCTTGCTTCTGACCGCTTGGATATGCGCCTGGACCCTCAGGGTGCCCTGTAGCAGGGTGTGAGTCTGGCCAGCACAGGGCGAGGTGGGAAGCTGACTTCCTACTGTGCTCTGCCTGAGTAGGGTGGCCACTGCCCTGGGTGGCCTCCGTTTGCACCCCACAAAGGGGCCGGACTGGTGGTTGCTCCGGTCTTTCCCTGTGTACACTGGGAAGTCCCGAATTCCACCTCTGGGCTCTGGAAAATATACAGTGCCTGGGTGAATGGCCATCCCAGGAAGGCAGCCTCACGGGTCCTCCCAAACCAGAGTGGGGTTGGTAGGTGTGGTGAGCATCCCTTCAGCTGCGTTTCCCTGAACGAGGAGAGTCGTTCCTGCTCAGAATCATCAAGATGGACCCAGCCTGCTCTCTTCCCAGACCCCGTTCCTGACCCTATCCAAGGCCTCACTCGGCCTCCCCGGAGTCAGTTTCTATGACTTCTGCACCTCCTCTGCTCCAGAACCATCAGTGGCTCCCCAGTGACCATCCGGTACTCAACTATTCACTCCGTGAGTATATAGAATGCCTCTGTATGCCAGGCTCTGGTGTGTAGCCATGCATGAGACACACAGGGTCTCTGTCCTCATCAAGCTTATGGTCTAGAGAGAGGAGGAAGCCCCAGAACAAGGCAACATCTGAGACAGGCTAGGAAGGAATTGAAAGGGAAGCTTCTCTGGGAAGAGGATATCTGAGCTGAAACTTGAACAGTAAGAAGAAGGCAGCCACAGGAAAATCTGAGGGCAGAATGCAAGGCCCTCACTCTTTAGCCTGGCAAGTGACCTTGCAGGCTCCTCAGCTGCTGTTACCCCTTCTGGGACCCACAGACCAGCCGCTCTGGGCCCCTCGACTCACCCTAAGTCTCCACCTCTGGGCCTTTAGCCGCTACGGCCCCACACCAGACCTGGGTTATCTTTACCTCTCTTCTCTGTCTAGCCAAACCTCACTCATTTGGGAGGCCCACCTCTTCCAGGAAGCCCACTGAGGTTGGTTTTATGACCCCTGACAACTCCCAGCATCTGCATCACCCGAGAGCTGCCTGGAACAGCAACCACGGCCGTCATACCTGCTGCAGTGGTGTGGCTTCTAAACCCTTCTCCTGTGTGATATACACAGAGCCTTTCTTACCCCAGATGAAGAATTCTCTCCTTTAGTTCTCCCAGGGACCCAGCCAGGTAGGCACAGGCCGGGAGAGGGAAGCCACTTGCCTTCCTTCCGTCCGCCTCCAGGGAGTGAGAGCTGCTAGGGCAGGAGGGAGCCTGAGAGCTGTGACCTCAGCCCCAGGGAGTGATCTGACCACAGAAACAGGAAGGAATGAACAGCTGAGAACCCTGGGGGCGGGGGGGGGGGTGCTGGCCCCAGGCAGGAGCTCCCAGCCACGGGACTGAATAAGCAGGGCCTTACACTTTACCCCAGGACACCATCCTGGGGCAGGCCAGGTGAGCAGCTCTGCCCGTGTGACTCACCGAGGCTGCCTGGGCAGCTCTGACACACGGGATGTGGCAGGAGGCTGGAGAGGAGGAGGAGGAGGAGGAGGGTGGGGGGCCTGGAGGCAGCAGGAAGGGCCGGCTGGCCTGTCTCATTCCTCTGCACCCCAGGGGGGGCTTGCTCCCCTGCAGGTGTGTGGGCTACCCCCAACACCACTTGCCAGACAGACTCCCTCGAACATGACACACGTTTGCACAACTTGTCATCACTCCCAACCTGTGCCAAGTATGAACTATGTGCCAGGCCCTGGGGTAAGTGCTCTCCACCCCAGCCCTGAGGACACTCCTGACAGTTCTGCTTCTTTCCCGTGAAGGAAGGAGTGACAGAGCCAGAATGTGAACCCAGGCGGCCCGCGCTCCGACCACCAGGCTGCAGCCGCACGCGGCGAAGCAAAGAAGGCCAGCCGGAGAGCCACACACACTGGGTTCGAATTCTGACTTTGCTCCTTAGCTGTGGGAACTGCTGCGTGTTGCTTCACAGCTCTGTCCTCCACGTCCTCACCGGTGAAACAGGGACAATGACAAGACCATTGACAGGGACGCCTTGAGGACTAAGTGAGCTGATACATCCAGAGCCAGAAGACGGCCGTTCCACGGACGCGCTCTCACGGAGCAAGATCCGTGGCACATCATCATCTGTCCCCGGAATGAGCAGCTCGAGGCCCACACTCTGCAAGAGCTGGAGGTGTCTGAGCCTCTGGTGGTCTTTCTTTTCATCTTTTCTGTAGTTTTTAAGCGTTTGGCAGTGACTACCAGTTCTCAATGCCAACACTTAAAACTGAAGAGATTACACGTAAACTCTGAGTCTGGCCACGGCCGGCTGGCGTTCCTGCACGCCACAGCAGGAGTCTCATAAGTGGGGCCCGGGATCCTTGCTTCACCATAGCCCTGTGCGTGGTCTCCCTTGCTCTTGTCACTCCTGCTCCTGCCCGCGGCCCCTGTGGCCTCCGGTGGTGCTCACATGTGTCCTGTCCCTGCAGTGGTCCGTCCCCCACCCAGGTGGCATGGAGTCCCCCTCCCTGTCTGCCCTGGCTCACAGGCGCTTTGCCATGGAGCTCCAACCAGTCCCCAGAGACTTTCCTCTCCCAGAACCCCAGGGGCCTGCAAGCTCCAGGGTGGGCTCCTAGTACCTTGACCTTCACAGGCACTTCCGGAACCCATTCCCAAGCTCAGGCCTCTGTCCCGGGACACTGCCCACACCAAGCAGCACTAACCTGGGTGCCCCGAGACGCCTGGTCAAGCTGCCTGTACTTGAATACCTCCTGGGATGGGGTGCTCACTTTCTTGATAACTCCATCTGTTTCTCAGTGGCTATAGCTTGTCCTCACACTGGCAGGACCTGCCTCTGTGACCTCAATCCCCACGGGCCCTCACTCTGTACTCTGGGCCTGCAGACCCTTGTGCTCCCTTGCCTTGAGACAGCCAGCTCCTCATGGGACAGTGTCCAGCCTCCTTTCTATTCCAGCCACCTCCACTAGAAATATCCCAAAACATCCCTGACTTTCTTCTAAGCTGAGCCCAGAATCCAGGAAAATCTGAGGAGGCAACAAAGATGCAACAGTCACCTCCCTTATTTTAAGCTCCAGATCTTGATTAAGGTGACCAAGGACATTTCAGCGGCCTTGGCAGCTGTTCCACAGGGATGATTCCTACTGAACTCACCTCAACCCGTCCCCATGGTCAGAGTTTTGTATGGCTGATTTTGTGGACGCAAGGATAAGACTTCATATCCATCCCTCCCTCTTTCCATCTTGCTGAGTTACATCCAATTGATTTTAACCGAGATTCAGTTATTCAATGTCTCCAGTAACCGACATGCTTCATGCCGTATGCGGATCCTGACCAGCAGCAAATGCACAACAGAGTCAAGCAGAATGAGGCTGTGGCTCGCCGCCAGACACCCAACACCAGCCATTAGGGAAAAGCTGTTTTCCAGCACATCTGTAAGAGCTGCCCGGCTCCCCTCCCTGGCTGCCTACCTTTCGGCCTGCCTCGTTATTGTGTAAGTTCATGAGAGTCCGGGCATTCTGCTTGATCTCCCGGGCATCCACAAAGACCTTGGCGAAGCCGATGCCGTAGCGGATGTCGGCAGAGCAGCCACCCCACTTCCAGCCCTCGTCCCGGTGGTACTGGCCTTGCTTCTCCTTGTCGCAGCCACAGTCACTCAGGTTGCCTTGGGTGCAGGCGGCTGTGATGGCGTGGGCCACGCCGGCAGCGATGATAGCGTACGTGAAGGCAGCCTCCCGGCTCCCTGTGAGGACGAGAGTGGGAAGACGGGGGTCAGGTCCAGGGCACCCCAGGAGAAGGCCAGGCCTGACTGCAAAGGGGGAGCTGGGCTCACTGAGCACCATTCCCGACCCCCCTGGAGAGCTCCATCATGGGCTGATGACACTGCCCGACACGCCCCTGCGGGCACACACCCACCTAATCCCGTCACCGAATCCAGTCGTCCGGCCTCTGGAAGGTCGGATGAGGGCACCCCTCTGTCGATTCCCACCCACGCCCCACCACACTTGACGTGGCCGTGTAAACTGAGTGCACGCACACGCTCACAGCATCTGGCGACACAGCGCAAAGCAGCATTTCTTAAACACCTACGGTGTGCACAGGCTCTGGGGCCAGGGGCCTGGACCTAAATCCCAGGAACATCCATCCCTGGCTCTGTGACTTTCAGCCAGCCATGACCCCTCCCTGTGCCTCAGTCTCTTTAGCTGTAAAATGGGGACAGAGCGATCATACTTTGCTCAGGGCAATGACAGAGAGCATTAAGAGTTTGTGTGTATCAAGCTGTCAGCTCCGTGCCTGGCTCATGGCACCTGCCTGACACAGCAGGTCGTATGCTCACGGCCCCTATTATTATTGTTGTGAGTCACCCGCTGTTTATAGGTCCAGCCCCTCCTCTTCTCCATGGCCCACTCAATAGACCGTGAGCCTCTCCAGAGAAGGCTGGGACCTGGCCCCCATTCACGTCTGTGTCCTCAGGCATCGGTCTGATACAGAAGGCAAGGGCTGGGGAAGGGGAGAGGGACTGCCCAGTCAGGGTGGAAAGGGGCAGGAAGGAACCTGGACAGGAAGGTTCAATGGGGGGAGGGGGTTAGGGGAGCACTGAGGCTGTGCTTTCCCACAGGTCTTCCCAGGTGTTTGGAGATGGTCCTGCCGGGAGGCTGGGAGCTGCCAATAAGGATTTACAAAGGCTCTGCAGGATGGTGCCAGGGCTTTAAATGGGAGTGGGAGGGTCCTGAGTAGCTGGGCACAGTGGCGCTGCTACCCTGCCTCTTAGCCTCTGTGAGCCTCAGTCTCTCCATCCGCAAAATGGGTTCGAGAGCAGTGTCTGCTATACAGGAGGAAGATGAACCCAGGCATGGGAAGCCCCAAGTGAGCCCTCAGCAAGTTCGCTCTCACAGTGGGGTAGGGTGGAGGTTCAGGGAGGGCTCCCTGGAGGAAGAGGCCCCACATGCCCCAGAGCAGGCAGATGAGGCAGGGCTGACCATTCAGGAAGGGGCAGGGAAAAGGGTTCCAGGGTGTTGTGATGCAGATGACCTCATCTGTGGGTAGGGAGTGGGTGGGGCAGCCTCCAAGCTGCTTCAGGCCTCAGGTCACGCTGACCCACACTCAGGTAGATGATTTCCCCATCCACCCCTCATCCACCTCCAGGCCTCCCTCACCCAGGTGGCTAAGACACAAACAATCTGCCCCCCCTCCCAACCACCGCTCTCCCTCTCTGCAGACGTGCAGGCCTCTCCACCTGTCGGATGGCTTTACTGTACCAGGGCCCTTTGCTTTGACACTCCGTGCCAGCCCATCCCTGGCACCCCTGTTCACATAGGGCTTCCAGTCCCAACTCCACCATTTCCTGCCCGTGGCTTAAGCAAGTTCCTCCTCCTCTCTGAGCCTCAGTCTCCCTGTTTGGGAAATGCAGATGATACCAGTGTCTACCTGATAGGAGCTGCCGAGAAGTTACAGGAGTGTGTGTGACATGCTTAGCCCAGTACCCAGCTCAACAAACATCCCTACCCTGGGCACTCTCTCTTTTTAACTGCACCTCAACCTCTGGGGCGTGGAGAAGGGCATGATTTGCGCACCTACCAGGTTCCTGACTCTGCACACATTATCGATCGTATTGGTATTAGGAACCATATGTGTGTCACACGTGCCCTGCAGAGGGCTGGGCACAAAGCAGCCTCGATAGGAGGCAGCCACAGGGTGGACACATGCACAGACTCCACCTCTGGGCAGGCTGGATATGTGACAACGCAATGAAGAAATGCTGCATAAGATCTTCCAGTGCATGGCTGGGCTCATGGGAAGGCAAGGGAACCCATAAGGGCCACGTGTTGGAGACAGAACTGATCACCAGCAGGGCAAGAAGGAACGGAAGGTGGTCATCTCGTGTTGCTGGGCTCTGCAGAAAAGGGAGCTGACGAATTAAGGCCTCAAGGACCAGTGATTGGGCCTTGAGTCCCACTGAGGCAAGACATTGGAAAGGAGCTAGGACTTGATGGATAGACTCCCAGAAAGAGGGTAGATTGGGAAAATCACCACTCCCCCCCACACACACCCAGCAAAGCTAGACAACAAGCAAGCAGGTCTGATATGGCCAGAACAGGAGGTGGGAGGGTGAGGGGTGAGGAAACCAGAATCTTCTGGGAACTGGGAGCCTTGTCCCTGCCTTTGCGATTTGGCTCCGACTTGTCCCTCTGCATGCTCAGGGGCTCCCAAGTCAAGGGGGAAGACTGGCCCCAGGCTGGTGATTCCCTAAGACCCCTGGAGAAGCAAAGACAAAGCCCCCAGATACCAGCTCACAGCACAGACAATCAAACACACAAGAAAGTAATATACTGGAGACAGCCAACAGTGAGATTAGACCCTCGGTGACATCAAAGAAAAGAATCATCAGATAGAGGGTATACAGAGAACAGGATGAGGGGCGCAGGGTCATCCCTGTCCTACCACTTTCCAGCTGTGTGACCTCAGGTGAGTCACCTAAACCGTCTGTGCTCCAGTTCCTCCGCTATAAAATAGGGATGGCAACCATCCACTCTCTTAGGGGAGCTGGGAGGATTAGAAAAACTAACAGGGAAAGCATTTAGTACAGGGCCTGGTATGAAGAAGGGGCCCAAATAAATATTAGATTTATTACAATTTCTATTGATGATGGTAGTAACGGTTCTTTATGAGAGGTTGGGAAGGTAAAGAGTAGGAAGCTACATTGATCTTCATTTATGGTTGAAGGAACCGAGGCCAAGAGAAAGGTCCGGCTTGTCCAGGCCACCCAACCGGTAGGCAGCAGAGCCGAGCTGCAGACTCGGCCTCTAGACACCCCATACAGATCAAGAACGATTCCCAGGGATTAAATGACTTGAGATGCAGCGGGCACCACTGGCAGGTTCCGAAGCTGAAAGGTGACTGTGTCCCCTTTATCAGACCAAGAATGGAGTATGCAAATTGAGGAGGGGGCGGGCAGCCAGGCCTGTCATCTGAGCCCTGCCCTTCTTCCAGACTCCTCCCGGGGGTGGGGCCAGAGGCAGGGTGAGGAGGGGCAGGACCAGCACACTTTGCAATAATTTTGTGTGTAGCTGCTCTACCCACCACCCCCAGCCCCCGTGGGTGTTGGTGCCCTGGTCTCTCCAAGCCCCCTGAGCAGCGCACGGGATGCAGATGATGCGCGCGGTGAGGGGCAGACAGCTAACTAAACATGGCTTCTGTTCCCAGGCACACCCCCTTCGGTTGGGGAAGGGCAGCTGTACCCCGACACATGTAACTCCCCTGAGTTCAAGCTGGACCCCCACACCACAGTGAAGTCCCACCATGGGCTATGCATGCCTTCCGCTCCCTGCCAAGCTGGCCCTCACGTCAGCACCCACTGCCCCAGAGAAGCAAAGCCTGCGGCTTCAGAGCTCCCAGGAGCCCAGGTACTGGCTGCTCAAGTCCAATGCCTCTGGATGCTAAAGGGTCACTGTGAACCCCTGCCATTGACCTTGACATTGGGCTTGCCCACCGACATTAGACTGGCCCTACCCAGTCCCACCTCCCTTTCTCCCCCACCACCCACCTGACCACTGAGGAAGCTGGCCTGGGCATCAGGCTGGCTGCATAGCTCACGTCAGGTCTGTTAACCTCTTAAAGCCTCTGCTGCTTCCTCTGTGAAATGGGCACAATGACAGCATCTATGCATCATGGGCTACGCAAGTAGACTGAATCACTGAACGAGGGGAAGGTGCGAAGCACAGAGCCCAGCACGTAGTAAGGGTTCAGGAAATGCCAACCACCGTGGTTGTTTTTGTTATTATTACTTCCGAGTCCCATTTTGCCTCATGGTGCTCCATGATGCCCTGGAGGACAAGACAGCCTCCCACAGAGGTAAGTGCAAGGGGCTGATCCAGCCCAGTCTGTCTGTCTGCTCAGCCATGCTTCAGGGTCACAAGAGGACAGGGACCAATGTCTGTCTTGCTTACTTTTTTTACAGCTCCCACCACAAGGTGTGAGGGATGAATGAATGAGCAGGCCTGCATTCCAGCTGCCACCCTGCCGGAAGCTGGATGACCTTGGGCAAGTCACTTAACCTCTCTGCCCCTCCATGTCCATGTCTGTTAGTATCACCTGCTCTGTAGGAAGAAATATATACCACCTAGCACTTAGCTGGTGCTTAAATAACGCTAGTGAGTGTTACAGTGATTATAATTGAGGAACTTACAGGCACACCGTCGAGAGGTACAGAAACTCCCTCCACCCCTTGATCTAGTTTTCTCCACAGCCCTCCTGCCATTTTAGATTTATCTGTTGGTCGTCTGTTCCTCACACACCTACCACTCCGGCTGGAATATCATTTCCTTGAAGGCAAGCACTCTGTCATGTTCCCCACTGGGTCCCTGGAGCCCGACACATAGTAGGTACTCGGTAAATTCTGTTGCATGAATGGATGGATGGATGGATGGATGGATGGATGGATGGATAAATGGATGAATCAATGAAGGCTCCAAAGAGTGGCCAAGAACCACATGACCTTTATTTAGGGCTTATTTGCCAGGTTCCCTGCAAGGCACTTCGGAAAAATATGTTCACCTATTCCTTAGGAAAACCACCCCAGGTGAGGTTCAGAGAGGGTCTGACAGGCAGAGGGGAGCAGTGGTGAACTCGGTCCTTTCAGCCTACTTCCCCCTGGGTATCCGCAGAGTTAGCCAGAGGCTGAGGGGTGGGGGGTTGTGGGGGGTTTGAGGTGGGGGGAGAAGGATGCTGAGCACCTACTATGGG